AAAGGCAGCATATTTGAAGCATCTATTAAAGATACTGACTGGATGGATATTGTGACCAATGTCCAAAACACGAGTGAATGATTATTTCCATTAAATCTATGGATGGATCAAGATTTGCAATACTGGGAAAATTGATTGTGTTTACAACTTGTTGTTAATTCACATTATCCAACATATATTTCCATCAATAACTTATGTATGGATGCATAGGTGACCAAATGACCATTCTATCGAGTTCTGTTGCTTTCATGTTTTAAAAAAAATAAAGCTTAAAAAAGGCAGCATATTTGATTTGAGGGTTACAGATATAAAGTGTCAATCCTTACAGTAACAAATTAAGTTCTCTTTCGTTGTCTTAAGTTAACAAACAGCTGGGAAAGAAATCTGATGTGTGTCAGTATATTGTCATTTTTGGGTGAACTCTTCCTTGTAAGTGCTTAATAAAGAATCATTAAGTAAATCAAAATTAATAATATACACTTACTGTGTCCATTCTGCAAGGCACCAGTGGACAACCTGGAAGACGATGTAGATAGCCATGAGAAATAGCTCACAACAAATAACAATACTTCTTCTAATAAATGCACATAAATAAGAGAAACAAACATTTAACGTATTTTCTCTGAATCTAGAAAAATTTCCCACAACACTGAAAATTTACAAATTCAATCTGAACTGTGAAGTTTCAAGTATTAACAGTTGGCAAATGGATCAAAGGCTGCACAATAAAAAAAAAAGTTTTAGCATTATGGCTTCCGTGATTAATCGTGAGAATGATTTCAATTAGATCTACTTCTGTTTCTGTCTCAAAAATGTTCCATTTACAATGTGTTTTTTGCAACAGTTGCTCAACTGAAAAAAAACACATTGTAAATGAAACATTTTTTACAGCCAATCATATGTATATGTTGAATGCATGAATTCAATGGCCAATCAGAGGCCTTTATATTAGTCAGCCTTATGAACACTGCAGACTATCACTATAACATTATCTTCGAGTGCTGAAGAAACATCACCTGACTAAAAAAAAAGAAGCTTTGGAACCAAAGCAAAATTACTGGCAATAATTACGGTGCTCGCTTGCCATGCAGATGGTGTAAAAAACAATATACATTGCAAGCAACACAAAACTAAGACCCTGTCATTATAAATAGTGATCGACCGATATTGATATTTTATAACCGATACCAATTATTTGCGTGTTTCTGTGCCCGATAACCGATATGCAGAACCGATATTTATTTACTGTTATAAAGTAAATACATGACTGAGTGAAGTAAGTCCATACTTCACTTTGGTTTTTCCTCCTTTCAGTCATCTTAAAAATTTTTTTTAAAAAAGTGTTGAAAATTACCAGTCTTAAAATTTAAATGTGTTAAATTTAATCTTCATTTTACAATAAAAAAAAACATTTTATTTAAAGCATCAGCAGCAACACTAATATTAACAATAAGCAAAATAAATGTAGAAGGTCTAATGTTTTCAAATGGAGAAAATAAATAAATGAAAGGAGTCATACCAACTTTGGAATTTTATTGCATTTCTCAACTGGCATGTTACATCAGAATTACTAATAATGTTTTTGTCATTCTAGATTATGAAATGCCTGCTGACAGCGCAGCTTATCTATGCATTTACACAGAACTATACTTAAACTGCGATCGCTCGCGGAGATAATAAATTAGTTTCCACAGAGATGTATTTATTTAGATGTTTATTAGCGAAATAATGATTATATAGTAAATGTTAAAACAATTTAGGGGTGTTTTAAACAAGTGAATCTTGTTAAAAGTTACATGCGGTGGCCGTGCTGGAGCATTCCCTGAGCATCAACCGCGAACAGCAATGAGAGTGAACAGCAATATGAAAGAGGCTTCACGAGACTAAGGATGAGCAAATATACAACAGAGAGAGAAGTAAATTTAGCATTTTTATTTCCAACATGCGCTCATTCATGGCTGTATTATTTAATTAATGCAAAATTACGTCTTTATTGGGAGAGGACTTGACGGATTATTTTAGCCTACGTGACTCCGACTTCATAAGACGATGAGCATATAGACAACAGAGAGCGAATTAAATTCAGCACTTTTATTTCCAACATGCGCTCATTCATGGCTGCATATTATTTAATTCAGGCAAAGTTACGTCTTTATTGGGACAGGACTTTACGGATTATTTTACGTGACTCCGTGAGTTTGTCTCTATTTCTTCGAGCCAAGCTGCATAAACTGCACATCAGGCATTTATGTAATACATCTAATTTGTGCATTAATGGATGTTATGTTAAATAAAGTTTACTAACTACAGTAAATCAAGTACCTGTGCACGCCGTTGTTGTTGTCTTGTTTCACCTCAGACGCCATAGTGCAATTCTCAAAACATCCACAAGATGGCGGCGTTTATCGGTGAATCCAATATTACAAAACCGATATCCGATTATTGTAAAATGCTTAAATATCGGGAAAAATATCGGTAAATCGATATATCGGTCGATCTGTAATTATAATCAACTAAACCTAGACATGACGTAAACAAGATACTTTTTTTGTACAGCATATTTTTTTTTATTATAATGAGACGGGATCATTAAAATGCCACACAAAATACGTACTACTTGTGCAACTCTACATAGATTGTCAGACCTCACCTAGTACAGTGTTTGGACATGGTCCATGAGCCTCTCTGGCCTTTACTCTGGGGACTTGGAGAAGTATCGGTAGAACTTGGTGGCGTCTGTCTGCGTGTCCGCTTGGGCGGTGGGGACAAACGTGGGCTACTGCTGTTAACATCACTGCTGGGCTCCTTCTGTAACAGACAGAGGTGAGCAGGATATTAAAAAGCTTGCAAGAGCATGCAGAATACACAAAGATAAATATAATGACAGAACGTCCACTCTCAAACACGATCTGCACTAGGGACACTCTGCGGCGGCGCAATATCACAGCGGAGTCCTCGAGTCGCCTAAAAGAACCTGTGGATTCATGTGATGGAGACTTCATCATTCTCTAGTAATCCTGTGAATGACAGACTCATGTCATCTCCCAAATTCTTTCTCCTCTCCTCCCAGATCTCATTCGAACCGCCCTGCTGACTAAATAACTCTCTGATTCACACATTTACACCGCCCGAACACATGTAAGGTGAGAAAATAAAGAAACAGAACCAGCCAAAATGATGAAAACATGCCAGGGTTCCAACACTTCATAAGCAATTAATTTCCATGACCTTTCCAGTCGCTTGCAAATTACTGGGTAAGGATTTTTCAAAAGCATTCAAATTCAGAATGAATAGCCAAGGAGTAATTTAGATTCTGACTGTGTCTCAGCTAGTGGAGTGCCGAGGCGCCATTTCCCTTTCTCTCTCTCTCCCTCTGCTGTCAGCCAGCCGAAACTCTCCGGCGAGCCACTTCCGCTACAGAGAGCGCGCGCTTCTGTGAAGTTGGCGCCACAGAAATTTTGAAAAATAGATTTTTTTTAAATATATATATATATACAAAAGCTGCGCAAAAGTGAAAGAATGCGTTGTTTTCTTTTAGTTATATTTGCACTGTTGGTATTGGCAGTCAACTAATATTTTAGTATATTTAATTGCAGTAAAGGATTTATTTGGTGAACAATGTAAAAGTTGCAACATTTTTAAACATTTTTAAAGTTGAAAAATGTGTTAATTTTCTTTCTAATATTTGGCTTAGTAACAAAAAAGTGATCCACGGTCATGTTTGGTCATCCACGAATATGTTTGGACGTGCTATGTCCAAAATGTTGAGCATGTACCAGTACCGGGGTATTTTTAAGTACCTTGGACAGTACCGTGCAGTTTATCTAAGCACCATATTACCAGTTTCACCGTGCCATGCACAGTACTTTTTGTTATGGTTATATTTACACGATTGTTGGCAAAAAGTATGAATAGGATATGGTTTAAATACAATTAATTTTAATAATTATTATCATTTCAAAACTGAAGATGTCAGGGTCATGCAAAGTGACTTCCAGTCACGGAAAAGGATGAATATTTTTATCTTCAAATATCATGGGAAAGTCATGGAAAGTCTAAATGAACTTTTAATACATTTTCACCCAGTGCAGATTTTCTCAAACATCTTTGTTCTAATCAAGTCGTCAGGCAAAATGAAATTTGGAAAATGTCATTTCAATCATAGTAAAGAATGGGAAGTCGGTCCATTTCCAAGTTCACCCAGATGGTTTGACTCTGATATTGTTCTTCTGTTTGGAGGGGTGAGTAAATGGCAGTGCACTTACAAAACACCCTAATGTGATTATTTTTGGCTGAAAAAAAGTGTTCCTCCATATCCTCCACTAGTGGCTGGTATCTACAACAATAATGATTATTTCCAAACAGGTTTCCCCGAACACTCCCCGTCTTCCATTCGTTGATGAAACTGACAGCCATGCCCCCAAATTCTCACCATTGGCAGAGAGCTTCGTTAAACCTTTCTGATTGGCTAACATGCGGGGGCTACTCACTTTCTTTGTTGCTTACAAGTTTATATATATATATATATATGTGTGTGTGTATATATATGTGTATATGTATATGTATGTATATATGTGTATATGTATATATATGCGTATATGTTTATATATATATGCGTATATGTTTATATATATATATGCGTATATGTGTATGTATATATATGCGTATATGTGTATGTATATATAAATGCGTATATGTGTATGTATATGTATATGTATATATATGCGTATATGTGTATATATATGCGTATATGTATATGTGTATATGTATACAGTATGTATGTATGTGTATATATATATATATATATGTGTGTGTGTGTGTATGTATTTTGTGAAATATATTAATATTTATTCCTTTTAATAATATTTTTTAATTTGAGTAATTATTCCATCCGTTGTCAAAGAACTAAACAGTAATTGAATTCCGTGTATCATTGGTCATTTCTAGGCAGTTGAAACATAATTTTACCTTGATTGAAAAATGTGTTAATTTTAAATGTGTCAAACATGTTAATTTTACCTTGACTGGACTGGTATGAAAGCAGATCAGTGTTATGAGAATTTCAGATCTCGCTTCACTTGTCAATCTCACACAGAAAGTCCTGCTCCATGAATTATTCAGTAAGCACAGATGCAGTGGTTACATTGACTTGCACCATCCTTTATAACTTATATATGCCCGCTTATGTTTGTGTTGCAAGATGGACAACAAAAGACGTCATGATTAGCGATATTGATTCAAGAGAAAGGGTTCAAGATGACACATGGTAAGTCCGCTATAGACTGCTCTGTATCTATTCTCAGCTTTGAAACATTATCATGAGCGAACATTACGCCATTACTGTATGTTCGTAATTGGAGTAATCTAAAAGCAATCTTCACTCTGTTGCCTTCATGAGCTCTTAGGTGTGAAGGGACACACAATGAGGAAGATGAGGATGATGAGGAGGTTAGCCCTATTAGATCCAGTTTCTCCGTGGAGGACCTGCTCGATGAGGTGGAGAAGATCAGCAGTGTCGCCAGTAGCGGCAAAAAGGTCAGACAGTTCATACCGAGATATCTTGTGTGCAATCGCATTCAGAACATTCTGGTGGTTACCTAAAATAAAAACGTTGTTGCTGTTTAGTAGCTACATCAAGTTAATGTCACGTTGAGAAAAAAAAGTTCACCTACAAATGAAAATGTACTCAACCTCAGACCGTCCATTATGTAGATGAGTTTGTTTCTTCATCGAAACCGATTTAGAGAAATTTAGCATTCCTTCACTTGTTTACCAAAGGATCCTAAGCAATGAATGGGTGCCGTCAGAATGAGAGTCTGATAAAAACATAACAATAATCCACATGACTCCAGCTGATCAAATCAGTCTTGTGAAGTGAAAAGCAGCATGTTTGTAAGAAACCAATCCAGCAAGGCTTTTTAACTTAAAACTGTTGTTTCTGGCCAAAATACGTACCCATACTATATAATAACACTTCCTCCAGGAGAAAAGTCCTCTCACATCAAAATCCACCAGCATATTTGTTTAGAACTCTTTTGGACTGTTTTGGCTTGAAAACGATGCTTGATCTGTGCACTTTTTCACAAAAAAACTATATTATGGATAACGGACTCATATTTTAAACAGAAGCAATGGTTTAAAGTTAAAAGTGTCTTAAATGACAGATTTTCAGACTTAACAAGATGTTAATTGATGGACTGGAGTGGTGTGGATTACTTGTGGATTATTGTGATGTTTTTATCAGCTGTTTGAACTCTCATTCTGACGGCACCCATTCACTGCAGAGCATCCATTGGTGAGCAAGTGATGGAATACTAAATTTCTCTAAATCTGTTTAGATGAAAAAACTAACTCGTCTACATCTTGGATGGCCTAAAGGAGTACATTTTCATTTTCAGCATTGCTTTTTAGATGAAAAATTCCTTTAAGTGTGTAACTTCTGAGTCACTAGCATCATCAAACAGAAATGCAAATGTAATACATTTATTAAGGGTGTTTTATGGCCAAATTTTTTCAGGTGGAGATTGTAGTGAGACTGTGGAAAAATGGCTTCACGGTCAACGATGAAGAGTTTCGCAGTTACACTCTAGAAGAAAACCAAGAGTTCTTGGAGGCCATTAAAAGAGGGTGAGTAGTGTTTTTGTCACTGTGGCAATATTATAGCATTCACATTCCAGTTCTTGCAATGGTTTTAAAATGGCCATTCTATTATCATTATTGTATCCATCATATGATGACATGCAGACATAAAATCTTTTAGCTTTGTAACAATCTAAAAATCCTCTATTTAAAGTGAGCTGCCTCTGGAGCTAGAAGGAAGAGCTGAGGATGAAGAACTAGAAGTCAATGTGGAGGACATGAAAAATGAAGTTTATGTCCCAAAGAAAAAGACCTTTCACCCGTTTACAGGCCGAGGTTACAGACTGGGAAGGTAGTAGATCCTCTCTGGGTTACATTGTTTTGAATTGGCCAAAGATTCACACCTGAAGAGAAGTCATAATAGTGATACTTTTTAGTATATGCTATTTAAGCATTAAAATGAAAGATTTGAGTAATTCATCTAGTCTTAGTTATTCCCACAAACATCCACTAGGTGTCCTCGCAGCACTACTCAGTGATATTTTGACTGTAAATGTGTCAAAGATTATCCAGATGTTGGTGTTAGATAGTTGACCATGTGAAATCACATGACACCACAATAATTGCAGTTCATTGGACAAAGCTAGGCTTTTAACCATACTTTAGAAATTGATTAAGTGGAAATGATTTCCCTCTGTAGTGTGGCTCCGCGAGTGGTGGCCTAGGTGTCCTCGCAGCACTACTCAGTGATATTTTGACTGTAAATGTGTCAAAGATTATCCAGATGTTGGTGTTAGATAGTTGACCATGTGAAATCACATGACACCACAATAATTGCAGTTCATTGGACAAAACTAGGCTTTTAACCATACTTTAGAAATTGATTAAGTGGAAATGATTTCCCTCTGTAGTTTGGCTCCGCGAGTGGTGGCCAGGTCTCGGTCGATACATGAGGACTGTTCTGGTCCTCCTCTCCCGGCTGTGGAGCTGAATGAGGACCTCCCCGTGACCTCCCTCCAGATCTGGCTGGCAGACGGTCAGCGTCTTGTGCAGAGGTTTAATCTGTGCCATCGGTAAGTATCATATGCTCGTAGAAGGTGAATCTCATGAAAACACATCTGGGTCATATTTATTAGTTATTATTGCTGCTGCTGCAAGCAAGTACAGGAAATTTCTACTGACAATGCATACGGCGATACGGTGCCATAAGTATTTAAGACATACTGCTGCTGCACAAATAGCATATAAAATAACCCGTAGCAGATCTATACAGGTGGAGCTGGGGAAGGTGGAGGGTTTCAGAGAAACTCTGAAAGCGCACTGCAGGAATCTCTAGTGAATGCTAGCCAGCCATATAAATGCAAGGCAGTAAGCTCATTGGCTGCAGCATGGACCAATCAGCTTGTGCCAAGTCGTTTAACTCTCTGAATATCTTCAGTTACGTTAACAACCCATCAGCCTGCACCATCTAGAGTTGCATGACTAAACTATATATATATATATAACTTATGTAGTATTGTTATATAGAAGTATTATTTACTATCTATAGTGTATGTGCCTCAGTTTTAATGCAAGTAGAAAACTTTTTTTTATGAAGTACGCTCACTCAGGGACTTTTTTATCAAGAATTTACCAGAAAAGATTTTAGATTTTTTTTATTATCATATGTTAATTTAAAAAATCTTGTATAGCTTGGTTTTTATTTTGTGTTTATGTAAGCCTTGTACTATTTCAACGTAGCCATGTGTTTGCCATGAAGATAGCCTTAGATGCTGGCATGGCAATAACTACTACAACTACTATAGCATATGTGTGTGTGCATGTAACTGTATGTAATATATGTTTTAAGCAAAATTTAATATTCCATATTTGACGCCATCAAAATACTGCAGCCAACTATTTGTACTATTAAATTATTTGGTCTAAATGAATGGAAGCATTTTTGGTTTGTGTCTTGCACCACAAAGCATCACCTTAAAAAAACTATAATATAACTGAATATGCATTTTTATATATATAGTGTAATATGCTTTTATAAACTGGACACAGCTAAGATTATTATGTCTGAATGTTCTTATTGTATTGTCAATAAATCCACCCTGGGCATGTTGTGATGCTCCAGTTTTGAAATCCTACCCTCAAAAGCTCTTAATAATTATGTAATATAAGCTCACAAGGTAAAATGGAAGAATTGTAAGCTGCAACTTTGCAGCAGATCAAATCAGATTACTCTGGATTTAACGTTTGCGTCACAACATGTAAAGATGTCATGCTTCTGACTTGAACATGATTTCTGCAAAGCTCCCTGAGAAGATGCATTCACGTTGGCCTTTATGTAATTGTTCCAGGATCAGTGATGTGCAGCATTTTGTGGAGCAGGCTCAGAGAACAGATGCTCCGTTCGTCCTGACTACATCCCTGCCGTTCCGAGAGCTGAGAGATGAGGGTCAGAGTTTGGAGGAAGCCGACTTAGTAAATGCTGTCATCGTTCAGAGGCCTCTCAACACACAAGCTCCTTTTGGTCACTCCTGACTGTTCCTGCTTGCAACAGAGACTCCGATTTATTGGTCCCACGTGTTTGACTTACATTTCATAAATACTTTCTTAAAGGAATAGTTCACCCAAAAATGGAAATATATTCACCCTCAGGCCATCCGAGATGTAGATGGGTTTGTTTCTTCATTAAAGCAGATTTCGAGAAATTTAGCATTACATTACCAATGGATCCTCTGCAGTGAATGGGTGCCGTCAGAATGAGAGTCCAAACAGTTGATAAAAACATCACAATAATCCACACCACTCCAGACCATCAATTAACTTGTCTTGTGAAGTGAAAAGCTGGTTGTTTGTATATATATATAAAAAAAAGTTTTAACTTGAAACTGTTGCTTCTGGCCAAAATACGAGTCCATAATCTGTAATAATGTTCCCTCCAGAGAAAGAATGAATTCCCTGTTATCTGAACATATTTCATTGGAACTGTTTTGGGCTGTTTTCTCTTGTAAACAGTGCTTAATCTGCATATTTCTCTCCTGATTCAGACAAGCTGACGTTTTCACTGGAAAAAGCTATCTAATAGAGAACTTTAGCTCGAAATAACAGTTTGACGTTTAAAACGTCTTGAATGTCTTGGTGTTTATTACAAACATGCTGCTTTTCACTTCACAAGATGTTAATTGATAGACTGGAGTAGTGTGGATTACTGTGATGTTTTTATCAGCTGTTTGGACTCTCATTCTGACGGCACCCATTCACTGCAAAGAGGATCCATTGGTGAGCAAGTGATGGAATGCTTAATTTCTCTAAATCTGTTCCAGTGCAGAAACAATCTCATCTACATTCTGGATGGCTTGAGGGTGAGTATAATTTGCATTTTTGGGTGAACTATTCCTTTAAAACCATAAAGACCTTTTTTTCTGACTTTGAAAACATTTAGGACATTACTAAAACATTATAGATGGCCACTTCAACACAAATAGATTTAAAGGAATAATTTGCCAAAAAAGTGAAAAGATCAGACTGAAATGGTTGTTGAGTTCACTGACTCAGTGATCCAGTCACAGCAAGTTAACTTACATTTCAGTTGAACGGAATGACATGTGGATGTTTAAAAAAAAAAAAAAAGTTAAATAAATACTGAGTTTTCATAGTCGAGTGAATTATTCTTTAAAATGTAGTTTTTAAGGTTCCCATCATGTTCTTTTACAGTTGGAAGCGTTGGCCTTTTCTGATGCAATGCAGTATGCACAAGCCAAGTATTTACCCTTCACTATTATACATGCTTACACATAGATCACTGAAGAATTCAGATCATGGAAGCTGCAATGATGCTTAATGGAGTTGTGTTCGATCATCTGTGCTGGTATGTCTTACTGTGGACCGGATAAGTTATAAATATCAAATGTTATATGCACTTTGCCTAAGACAGAGGCTCTGTTATAAAGACCTCTGCTTGCAATAAACCTACTGAAGATATGCTGATTCCGTTTCTCATTTCAAAGGGGAGTAAATGGAATCTAATGCGTTTTAAATGCACATAGAGATGATAAGTAGAAAATTAGGAGACTTTCTGATCAATATGCGACTTTGCGTGAATGCATTTGAACCTTTCTTCTGAAAAAATTACCTATTTTAAATATTTTAGAAGTGCATTAGGGAAAAAAAATCATATGGTTCAGTTGTCTATCATTTTTTGAGTAGTTTAAGTTGATCCACTATCAATCTGCAGTGCAATTAATTCAAACTTTTCATCACTATATAATCTAGGAATCATTCAAGGAATGAGTGGAATTATAGTTCTAGTCTCTACTGTTGATCCATTCGAATCTCGTGTCCTTTTAAACATCCTGTTTATTTCCACATATTGTTTATCATTGCACAAAATGTTGGAAATGCGTTTACATGTCGTGCCAACCATATGGTTGATTTCTTGGCCAGCGGGCTAAATGTCAAGAATTTCTGGAGTACATTAAGGTTGATGTGACCAGGTCTGACCATCAGGCTAACAGTCATTTAAAATTGTAAAATATTTTCACAATATTACTGTTTTGGCTTTATTTTGGATCAAATAAATGCAGCCTTGGCGCATTTCCGAAACACTACAACTTATAATTAAAATGCCTGTACGCTAATAATTTGGTTTATTTACTGTCATGTTAGTTATGATGTCTCACTAGATCTAGGATCCTGTGAGTTGTCTTTGCTGTGCTGTAGGGGGCGTGCATATGTTTTTGTGATTACATCTATTGAATGTGCTGCTGCAGTGAATGTGAGTGATGGAACCTGCTGCAGTTCATCTGTCTGTCTGTCTGTCTATCTATCTATCTATACCATTGTGTTACCAAGATACGTTTTGTTAGTGTATGTGCATTCTGTATTATTTAATCAAATTAACATGTCGGTTGATATCAAAAATGCATGGGAAAAATTTACATTTTTACATTATGTGTAGGCCTACTGAAAATATTTCTGATGGAAAAGTGAATGTTAGATGTTTTGTGTTAATTATATATTCAGCACATAAGCCTAATTCGTTGCGTTTATAATTTTGTTCAGTGTAAATAAAATAAATAAGTATTAATTTCTGTCAAAAACTTCAAATCAGCTAAAAATCTAGCGAGGTTTATGCTCACTAGGGGGAAAAATGCATGCTTAAAAAAAATCCTCAAAACCAGTGTTATCTTACACAAGTAAAAAAACATTTTAATGTAAGAGATTTGTTTTTTTACCAGAAAACAAGACAGAAATACTAATTAAGAAAGTTTTTTTCTTCTTCTTCTTCTTCTTCTTCTTCTTATCAGAACTTAACAAGAATGTGTATTTAGAGTTGGGGGTTTGTTCAAATCACAATACAACGTGTGCAATAGCAAGAGTCATGCTTAGTAAGAGATCAACCAGAATTAGTTTCAGCTTCTAGGCTAAGCACACAAGCTTCCTGATTCATTTCACACTTTAGTAGGCCTACCATCAAATCCTCTTACTGTTCCTTCGTTAGATCAATAACACAAAGAAGCTTCAGAATTTAGATTAAATAGTCTTGGGTGTATATCCAGTCTTTTCGTTTTCTTGCCTGAGTTATCCGAATAATTACATTGTGATTTCAGAAGTCATTCATCTTGGTGAAGAGATATTAGGACTTTCAGATTTTTAAGTAATAATAAGATAATGAGTTTTAATACACTACCATTCAAAAGTTTGGGCTCAGTAAGGTTTTTAAATGTTTTTGTAAGAAGTCTCTTATATGCTCATCAAGGCTGCATTTATTAATTAATAATACAGTAAAAACCTTAAAATTGTGAAATATTTTTACAATTTAAAAGAACTGTTTTCTATTTTAATATTTTTGAAAATGTAATTTATTCCTGTGATGGCAAAGCTGAATTTTCAGCATCATTACTCCAGTCTTCAGTGTCACATGATCCTTCAGAAATCATTCTAATATGCTGATTTGCTGCTCGTGAAACATTTCTTATTATTATCAACATCGAAAATAGTTGTTCAGCTTAATCTTTTTGTGGAAACCGTTTTTTTTTTTTAACAATGGAAAGTTCAAAAGAACAGCATTTATTTGAAATTCTTTACTGTATCTTGCTGAATAAAAGTATTAATCTGACTTTTGAATGGTGTATAGAGTCTCTTATGCAGTGATGCTTCTCAAGTAAAATTATCTTGCTAAAAATGCTTGTCAACAAAAGTTCATGTGGTTATCTATAGCCCAGCCTCTTTGATGTCTGCATGGAGTTTCCATGATTTATTTGTGTTTCTATCCTTTGTTACTATGGCTTGGCGCAGGTCTCTCCATACTGTCCTCCGTAAAACCCGCCTATAAGTGCTGGAGTGGAGAAGCCGCTCTGACCGCAGCAGTCTATGCTGTAATGAAAAGTCATTCTAACTACTTGATAAATACATGGTTCGACCTGCCTGAAACCACCAGAGAGGATAAATGCTGCTTTCCTCTTTTAGCGTTCTTCATTGTCTGTAAGCACACGGCTGAGAAACAGCAGCTGCTTCCAGTGTGCATGTATGAGAATGTAGGTTACCTGATTCTAATTAGTCAGTTTTTCATAATTAGGCTTTGGTTTATGTTTAAATAAACAAATCCTTAGGCTACTCAGAATCAAAACCCTTAATGGAAGTTAAATGAACAGTATAGGGAACTCTTAAAAAAAACAGAAGCACCGCTGCAGAAACGCTCTGTAGTTAGATTTATTTTGGTAGCCGTTTGGCCCAATGGTCTGCCGCAGTGCTGACTTGGCTTTTGAGTAAATTGGAAAAGCTAGCCGACTGTAGTACACACCTATAGTAAGTTTGCAATGCAGTATGCAAGCAGGTTCAAGGAAGGTTTGCTGGACTTCGATAAATATTGATTTTGTACCGCACGTTTAAATAGAACAGAACATGTCGCTCTTGGAATGAATAGCGTTGATTTATGAGCTTGTAAGTTGTTTCCTTTTGAGATTTATAATATGACATAATATAAATGGGTGTATAAATGGGAAATATGAGTGGTTATGAAACCACTGATAAATGAACATGCTCTAAGTTTTGGATTCCTCATCATTTTGCTTGCCCTTTTTCAGATCATCATTTATGAGAGCATACAGAACACTCCATAATTTCTTAACATCTTAAAAATAAAGCATCCAATTAGAACCAAAAATAATTTTATTGCCTAAACCATATAGGAGGTACTATTTAACTTCCATAAAGACCTTTTTATTATCTAGTTACTTTAAAAAAAAAACATCATACTGCTAGAAACCAAAACACTGGTTTGAAGAAGCTATATGAAGTTACTACTGAATCTAAAGAACTACTGAAAAGAAAATGTTCTTTATCTTTTTGCAAGTAACATAAAATGAGTTTGGTATGGTAAAATCTAAATTCATAGGTTTTATATTGAGATTTTTTAAGCACATGTTTTGTTTATTTTTGGTTTTTTATTGTTTATATTTTTTTCATTGAAATTGTGTATATTGTATGTATATATGTGTGTGTATATATATATATATATATATATATATATATATATATATATTAGTCATTATTATTTTTTTTACTTTTTAATTGTTTATATTAGCTTGTAATATATTGATATTTAAAAATATAATATAATATAATATTGTTTTGTTTTATTTTATTTGACTTTTATCTAAGTCAAAAATGTTATTCAGTAACTGAAATTATTGTTTTTTTCATTGTGCAATAATTTATTGCATTTTCATAAGACATTTATTAACATTTCAATATTATCTCCTTGGCTTTTATAAGTAGACAACTGCACATTTTTTGACCATTTTTAGACTATTATTAATCATTAAATTGAGGTATTTGTATATAAATTATCGTATCATATCATATTGCTGCCATATCTCATCATATGGCAAATAATTTTCTATGACAGTAAATAAAAGTAATTGCTCAGAATAAGAGTTCATATCTATAAGTTTCCATATTAATCACTGTCTGTCTTGTGTTTTGTTCTCAATCTTTCTTGCAGTGTTTCCATGTGCCTTATTCTGCCCTGACCATGTTCCTGAGCACCGACCAGCGCGAGAGAGACTCTGCTACAGCTTACCGTACGCTTACAGCTACACACACAACAGTGTCCATCTTTAAAGCCATGTTTGGATTGCTCTAGAAGATTAACAACATCTGATTTCATTGTGCTCCAATAATCCGAAAACAAATGCCTGCCAAGTGCTTATATTGAGAACTGTGCATGTTTGGAAATGCTTTCAAATGTAAATAACAATGAAGAGTAAGGATGTTCTGCATGTGTATGTGCAGGTATGACTGTGGAGGTGCTCGGGACGTTGGTGGGGGCTACTATTCAGGGTCAGATCGTAGCGAGCGCACACACTCTGAAGCACTGTCCACATCGAAACCTGACCACTGGTTACCTAGGAAACAGCAGTAGCGGGACAGAGGTCATCAGATCCCTGGCGCTTTTACAGGACTTCCTGTCTCATGCAGTACGTGTCACAGTTACACTTGTTTAAAATTGACCTCAAAGTACACCAGTGAACCATTGCACTTAATGCAGTTCCTTTGGGTCTAAATTTATGTAATTCTATTTTTATGCATTTTATGCGTAGCGACAGTAAAGACTTTTATAATGTTACAAAAGATTTCCATTTCGAATAAATGCTGTTCTTTTAAACGTTCTTAATCGTCAAAGAATCCTGAAAAAAGCATCATGGTTTCTACAAAGATATTAAGCTGCATAACTTTTTTCAACATGTTTCTTGAGCAGCAAATCAGCATATTAGAATGATTTCTGAAGCATCATATGACACTGAAGACTGGAGTACATTTTACAATATATTCAAATAGAGAATAGTTATTTTAAATTGTAATAATATTTCACAACTTTATGCTTTTACTGTATTTTTGATCAAATAAATGCAGCCTTGGTGAGCATAAGAGACTAATTTCAAAAACAAAAAAAAAATCGTATCAACCTCAAACTTATGAACAATATATTGTGATCAATGAGATTTCACAAAAAAGCCTTAAAAAGCATTAAAAAAATCTTCTCGACCACAATCTTTCGAATTATATATATGTATATTAATTTTAGAATAAATATAATAGTATAAACCTTTTTATTATTTTTACATTTTTCATAGCTGTTAATATATTCATATATAATAATATAATATAATAATGTTTTCATTTTGTGTTTCTAGATTCTAATTCTAGTTTTAAGTTCTAAAGAGAACTGCTTTGCCTAAATTAGCTTTATTTCCTTTTTCAAATGACTTTTTCCCTGAAAACATCAAGTGTCATCTAACCATAAGCCCTCCAAAACCTAATTAGGTATGGATTTCTAGATTTTGACTTTCAGGGGAACAATTTATATTCATCGGAGTCCTCAGAATCAATAAATAAATGTGCTTGTTTAGCAGACTGAATAACTCTATTTTGAGCCGAGAGCCACTGAGCTCTATGTCAGTCAAACCCGACATGAAAATGAACTGACAAGCTTGGCCTGTGGATGTGGCTGAGGGTTCCATAGTGGAAACCCATGATGGAGAACCATGAAGGGCCACAGCTATGTGGAGCTGGACTGCAGAGCGTCTCTCTGGTTAAGGCTCTCAGAGGCGGCCGGGCCAGGTTGGGTGCGCCAACCAACTCCTCTGGAACGGCACTTTTGATCTGGAACAATAATGAAGTGCTTGCCGCGGTCAGTGAAAAAAATAGCAAACAATCCTGAGGTTGTTTAGGGCAGAGCAGTTCCTGTTTGGGGGAAATAGATTGAAAAGTTCCTATTTTATTGGGTTGCACCTAATTTGGGCTCGCTACACTTTACAAGACCATACAGTACGGCGTCTGAAGCAGCAAATAGACTCAAATAAATATGATCATTTGTAACTTGACAACCAAGTACTGGAATAGCACTCCAGCCAAAGATTAAGAGTTATTAAAGACAGATTTGAATGTGTTGACAGAGGTTTTCAATCACCGCTCTGTTTCTCTTCACAGAAGGAAGTGTACATGATAGCTGCCGGAGTGATCGGTGGGCTGTTTCTGGTTTGTACGGTGGTCATGTTCCTGGGAGTCAAAGAGAGAGATGGTGAGTGTGTGTGGTAATCGTGTGGCAAACATTTGTGTTTTGCAGCTGCGTCTGAATGGAAAAGTATGCTTTGTTCACCCCAAAACAATACATTTTCGTGACTTTCTTCTGTGGAATACAAAAAGAGATGTTCGGCAGAAAGTACATGCTGCTCTGAAAGAGAAGCGGATTGGAGCTGTTAATCTCCATTAAAAAACAACAAGACATTAGTCCATATGACTTATTAGCTATATATTCCATGTTTTCTGAAGATACACTATACCGTTCAAAACTTTGGGGTTTGTAAGTTCTTTAAAAAAGTATCTTATGCTCACCAAGGCTGCTTTTATTTGATCAAATATACAGTAAAAACAGTAACACAATGTAATATTATTACAATTTAAAATAACTGGTTTCTATTTGAATATATTTTAAAATGTAATTTATTCCTGGGATCAAAGCTGAATTTTCAGCATCATTACTCCAGTCTTTAGTGTCACATGATCCTTCAGAAATCATTCTAATATGCTGATTTACAGCACAAGAAACATTTCTGATTATTATCAATGTTTAAAACAGTTGTGCAGCATAATATTTTTGTGGAAACTGTAATGCATTTTTCTTCCATTATTCTTTGAATAATAGAAAGTTCAAAAGAACAGCATTCATTTGAAATAGAAATCATTTGTATAAATGTAAAGGTTTCTGCTGTCACTTATGATCAATTTAATACATGCTTGATTAATAAAAGTATAAGTTTCTTTAAAAAAAAAATCTCATTGAACCTGAACTTTTAAATGGTAGCGTATATGATAGCTTTGTGTGACACACCAAAATCCGTTCATTTATATTCAAATGTGGCATGCAAGCCAAGTTTGAATACATGCCAATTTCCCATTTATAAATATATAAATGTGTGTGTGTGTGTGTGTGTGTGTGTGAGTGTGAGTGTGAGTGTGAGTGTGAGTGTGTGTGTGTGTGTGAGTGTGTGTGTGTGTGTGTGTGAGTGTGTGAGTGTGTGAGTGAGTGTGTGTGTGTGTGTGTGTGTGTGTGTGTGTGTGTGTGTGTGTGTGTGTGTGAGTGTGTGAGTGTGTGTGTGTGTGTGTGTGAGTGTGTGTGTATGTGTGTACTCCACAAGTCTTATTAACTCTTTTAAGCCATATTTTGGAGCTTGACTGTGTCCTTTCCCTTTTCGTTTTATGGAAAACTGCAGTATAACCATTGTGTCTGGAATGTGTTTTTGCATTCCACTGAAGAAAAAAAAACTTTCAACATGAAGGTGGGTAAATTATGACAGAATTGTTAATTTTGGGTGAACTTTCATTTAAATGTGTCATAAAACTATCATGCGCTATACATATACAGTACCTACCATGTCTAACATTTATGTTTACTGTGCATTCTTGTCTGCGTTAGATCCCTATGCTCCTAAAACAGACAAGGCCATTCCTTTCCATAAGGCCTTTATTTTGGTCATGAAGCACGGGTCCTACCTCACCCTGACGGCTGCTTTCCTTTTCATATCCGTGGCCATCCAGGTAACAGGTTTTCCCTTTAGTATGTCGTTCTAGAATGTGTTCAGTTGGTCGTTGTGTGGAGCAAACTATGTAACTGAATAATTATATCAATTAGTATACAGTTTCTTCAGATTTAAAACTCTGAATGCATTGCCAGAATGTAAGCTTCGCTGAAAAATAATGTATTCGCCATTCCAAACCCGTAGGCTATTTTTCTGATGGAATGTGAAAGTAAAAAACTTTAATGTTTGGTTGAACTATTCCTTTAAACATGGCATTTCAGGCTGGATTAATGAATGAGATCATTAGAACTGCATTACATTTCCATTTGCCGCTGTTTCCTTTTGCAGTTGATACAAAGTAACTTTGTGCTGTTCTGCACATATGCGGTGGAACTTCGGGATCACTTTCAGAACATTGTTTTGACAATTCTGGTGAGTACCTGATGAAGACATGAAAAGCTGACAGCACTATGAATTTAATTCAATAAATATTCCGACCTGCCATTGACGCTCCTCAGCAGTTATTTGTTTAGTTACTTATCTGACATTAAAAGAAAGACAAAGCTCTCTATAATTCTCTAACATGTATCCGTGTCTTCTGTTAAGTGGGTAAAGTGAATATGTGACAGATCTTTTGTACTGTATATCTTTCTAGATGTCGGCAGCAGTGAGTATCCCATTCTGGCAGTGGTTCCTTGAGAAGTTCGGGAAGAAAACAGCAGCTTTCTGCGGCATTACAGTAAATACTTCATCAAGTGTCCACCCAAAAATTTAAATTCTGTCATAATTTACTCACCATCTACATGTTCCAAACTTGTATGAGTTTCTATCTTCTGCTGAACACTAAAGAAGATAGTTTGAAGAAATAAATCAACTAAACAGCTGACGGTAGCCATTGACTTCCATAGTTTGTGTGAAAGCTGAAAGATAGCTGAAGAAAGAAGAAATTCATACAGGTTTAGAACAATGTGAGGGTGAGTAAATGTTGACATAATTTTCATTTTTGGGTGAATTATCCCTTTTATCAGAGATTTGGAGGACTCTTTATCCAATACATCTTGAACTTCAGTAGTATTATAAATGATCAAATGATACCACCATATTTTGAATAACAATAATTGGGTATTTTAGACTATAATAAATGTTATAGTGTATGGCAGTGTTGTTATTGTTAACTAAAACTTGTTTCTGGTTATTGAAATAAAATGCTTAGAAATGTTTTAGTAACAAAACTATTTGAAGTATTTGTAACAAAAAATGAGAAATGTTACCTTAGCAATTAACTGAAATAGCTGAAGTACCGAAATTACTAAAACTAAAAGTGAAATAAAAATAAATGAACACTTTATAGAAATATTAAAATTATAATAATAAACTAATACAAAATTACAAAAGCACTTGACAAAATGACTGAAAATTAGTTAAAAATTAGTAAAACTTAAAAAGAAAAAGAAAAGCTAATTAAAAAAGAATAAATATTATATCAATAATATTAAAATGACACTGACTTATAGCAAAAACAAACAATTTCAGATATTTAATTAGAGAATACCATAGTTTTTTAGCTTCTATGTTTCTGCGGTTTATAATATGTATACCTACATGACCTGCTACATTTGCCAAACGTAGTAATAATTTATACTGCTATATCATTTTTTAGAGAGTAAATGTACTGTATTGTGCTATGTAGTAAACTGCACTGTAGAAAAAGAGTTTTTGAAGATGCAAATAAAACAAAGATTATTAGAATATTTTTTTTTAGAAAGAAAATATTTATTTCAGTCTTTATACTTTAAAATTTCACTTTTACTTGCCATTTATGTGTCAAATTTAGGCTACTAGTAAATTCTGTGTGAAAAGTGTTTGTGTGTGTGTGTGTAATATTCTGATACAACAGTGTTCTTTAACTGTATACTGACACCTGTTGGCATGGATGCAGCATCACACTGATGTAAAAACATCACATTTGCAAGCATAAATGCAATCCATGATTCATTTAATCTGCGAGTGTCTGATATTAAGGGCCTTGCCAGAATTAAGTGAACAGTATTTGGCCGGTATATACAATTTAAATGGCCTCTTCTAGACCACTAATATGACTGGAGTCAAAAAAATGCATTATTCATTTCTGGAGGTTTATTATTGCACCTTTAAATGCTAATGCATATGTACATTGGGTAACATTCAGTGACCTCTTTTAAATGGTCATGTGTGCAGTGGATCATGCCGTTCACAGTGATGCTGGTGTTCATCCCTAATCTGATAGTGACATATGTCGTGGCCGTATCATCTGGGCTTAGTGTGGCTGCATCTCTCTTGTTACCATGGTGAGTCTTACAAACCAAAATATAAACGAAGTGTAGCATTTCTGTTTTAAAGTACTGTTCGGTTTTGCAGTGGCGATGAAAAATGAAGCATTTTCTTTAAAAAATGTAGTTGATGCCATGTATTTAAAAGTGATCCATAAAAATTTAAACCTCCCAAGCTTTGATTTTACGCCTTGGATACATAGGTTTAATAACCCAGCAGCATCCAAATAACAGGTTTCATGGCAGGGTCATGCTATTTTTTGGTTTTTAAAGACACACTCGGGTTGATTGGAAAAGCCCCAAATGAGTAAATTGCAGTTTTATGTGCCGACTACAAAGAGGATTTGGCTTTACGGTACCAATGTCCATGTTTAATAGCGATGATGATTGAGGCCTCCGCTGTGTTGTGTTTCCTGTTGCTCAGGTCAATGTTACCAGATGTAGTAGATGACTTCAGACTGGCAAACCGCAACTCAAAAGGACACGAGGCGATCTTCTACTCCCTATATGCTTTCTTCACAAAGTTTGCTGCAGGCATTTCTCTCGGAGTGTCGACTCTCTGTCTACAGTGAGAGCACTCTTTCAGTATTTACGGCTGGAGATGATGAAACATGACAGATAGTGGTGTAAACATTTGAAATGTATTGTCCATAGGTTTGCTGGTTATGACACAGGAGCGTGCAGACAGCCCACTCCAGTGGTCTACACGCTCAAACTGCTCATCGGCGCCGCCCCGGTGGCCTGTATCACTACAGGCCTCATGATCCTCATGGTGTACCCGATCAGCGAGGACGTCAGATTACGAAACAAACTCGCCCTGGAGGAGCTCAGGTGAAGACCCTGATGTCAGGTTTACATAAAACCCAATACTTTCATTCAGCAAGGATGCATTAAATCCATCAAAAGTGACAGCAGTAAAAACATTTATAATGTAACAAAAAAGTCTGTTTCGAACAAATGCTGTTGCTTTGTACTTTCCGTTTATCGAACGTAACACAACTTTTTAACATTGATAATACATGTTTCTTGAGCAGCAAATCAGCATATTAGAAAGTTTTCGGAAGGATCATGTGACACTGAAGACTGGAGTAAAGGTGCTGAAAATTCAGCTTTGCATCACAGGAATAAATTGCTTATTAAAATAAATTCAAATAGGAAACAGTTATTTGAAATTGTAATAATATTTAACAATTTTACTGTTTTTACTGTATTTTCGATCAAATTAATGTAGCCTTGGTGAACAGTAGGATTTCTTTCAGAAACATTAAAGGGGTCATATGATGTTGCTAAAAAGAACATTATTTTGTGTATTTGGTGTAATGAAATGTGTTTATGCAGTTTAAGGTTCAAAAAACACATTATTTTCCACATACTGTACATTATTGTTTCTCCTCTATGCCCCGCCTTTCCGAAACGCGTCGATTTTTACAAAGCTCATCGGTCTGAAAAGCGAGGTGTGCTCTGATTGGCCAGCTATCCAGTGCGTTGTGATTGGCCGAATACCTCAAGCGTGTGACGGAAATGTTACGCCCCTTACCATATTATGATGCCTTGTCCCGGCCGGAGCGACATTGCAGCTTCAGGGATCTTATCTATGCACAATCAGCTTGTAACACTCCAAAGAGAAAGGAAAACTTGAAATCGCATCATATGACCCCTTTAAAAAAAATTACAGACTCCAAACTTTTGAACGGTTGTGTGTGTGTGTGTATGTATGTATGTATGTATATATATATATATATATATAATACAAATATGAAAAATATATTTTTGTATTTTAGAAATAATATACATTTTTACATTTGTATTTATTTTATATATCAATATATTTTGTATATACTATATATAATGAAATGTACATATATTTGGTTTATTTTTCAGAAGCCAGAGTATTACCTGTAAATCTCTGAGCAGATCTGAGCAGAGCGTAACGTCCTCAAACAGCCGATCCTGATATTCTAGCCCAGCGCTGGAATGAGTCGTGTTAGTGTATATTACACTGTGTGAGATGAGTAATGTTTTACTGTAAACATTTCAGTTTGTTTCTGTATTTTCAAATGAACATATAGCCACATATACAGTATTACAGTATCCAATCTATACACTTGAATGGACTATATATCATTATATATCAGGATTTCCTGAAGTAAAATATACTGATAATATATTAAGCTGTTTTAGTCATTATAAATATTATTGAATGACTTGATTACATGATTAATAAAAATTGTGCTGGTTCACATAGCTTCAGCATATTTCAAAAATGCTTCAATAAATGCAAAATATAGAAAAAATATTATAAAAATACTGATTTGGTTTAATTCATCATTCTGTTTGTTTGTACAGTATGTTTTCAAACATAAGCCCAAAGGATTCTTTAAATTTTATATAAATAATAATCAGGCAATGCAAAATGTGCAAAGGTGGACTTAGATTTTTAAAGATTTTTTATTTACAAGAAAATACTATTTCAGTTTAAATCAGTGTTACTTGCAACTTCTTTGTAATTATTTCTAAAATGTTAGCAATTTCTGAGTGAAAATTGTTGCATCATTAATTTTTTTTTTCATTGTGTGAATGTGCTATTATGCAGTTCTTTTAATGTGGGTAATAATGTCTGTCTTACAGCTTACAAATCAAATCAAATCAAATCAATTATGAAACATAAAAGAATACAATCACTATGAATCTTCTTTAATTTCACATTACATGTACCTTCATTTCGTTGTGTGGGACGAAATAGAAACTATTCAAGCAAAAATAACCAAGCAGGCACTCGATATTTCTTCTGAAAATTAAAAAACTGTTCTGCCCTTGACAACTGTCACATTACACAAATCTATCAACATAATAAATATCACAGTGGCGAATATTGTCGTTTTCCCTGAATTCCAAACAAAAAGTTTGGAATATCCCTGTGTAAGCCACAGATATCCAGCTAACACAAGACAAATATCGTACAAATATTTCAAATAAGTCCTCTTATGATGATACAAGCTTTATTTTTCTGCATTGGAAGACACTGGACTTTCAGGTGGAAATACATCAGCGCAGCTCGGGGGTCTTACAGGAGATTTCCTTCTGGCACTCCTGATTGTGAGCTCATCTTTGTGTTTAAATGTGAGCGGAATGAAACCATCTGCATCAGCCACCAAGACGATCCACATGGGACCTGTGAGAAGAAGAAAAATTTATTTAAAGGAATAGTTCACCCAAATATAAAAATTTGCTGAAAATGTACTCCAAGATGTAGATGAGTTTGTTTCTTCATCAGAACAGATTTGAAGAAATTTAGCATTCCATCACTTGCTCAGCAATGGATCCTCTGCAGTGAATGGGTGCCGTCAGAATGAGAGTCCAAACAGCTGATAAAAACATCACAATAATCCACACCACTCATCTTGTGAAGCGAAAAGCTGCATGTTTGTGAGAAACAAATCCATCAAATGTTTTAAACTTCAAAAATACAAGTCCTCTATCCAATATTTTGTGTTTTCCAGTGAAAAAGTCATCTCGTCTGAATCAGGAGAGAAATATGCACAGATCAAGTACTGTTTACAAGTGAAAACAGTCCAAAATAGTTTGAAAGAAATATGTTCAGGCAACATGGGATGGACTTTTTCACTGGAGGAAGCGTTATTATGGACTTGTATTCTTATCAGAAGCATTGTTTTAATTATGGATTTGTTTCTTACAAACACAAAGGTTTTCACTTCACAAGATATTGATGGACTGGAGTGGTGTAGATTACTGATGTTTTTATCAGCTGTTTGGACTCTCATTCTGACGGCACCCATTCACTGCAGAGCATCCATTGTTGAGCAAGTGATGGAATGCTACATTTCTGATAAAGAAACAAACTCATCCTCATCTTGGATGGCCTGAGGGTGAGTCAATTTTCAGCAAGTTTTCATTTTTGGGTGAACTACTTTAAATCTATGAGAAATTTCTGCACAGTAACTTGCGGTCTTAGCATAAGTGACTGTGGTTCAAGCATACATCAGCTGTAGAGATGCACAGCACAAAAAGCTGTAAGCGGATTCAAACTTAAACCCTCAAATCCGATTGCTCCACCTAATCGCTTCCTATTTTAGTCATTGACAATTAAACGAAGCCTTCAACAAAGGAAAACAGGATTCGTGCTTTGCACGGCTTTATTAATACATCCCATCTGCTCATTGCAAAACAGCAAATCTGCCTGAAATGTCAACACAAAGATCTTAGAAATGTTCAAGTGCTTCTTTCAGTGTGCAAAAGTTGCAACTATTTTTTCAAATTTCCATTCAAAATGTCACTTGGCCAGCATTTTTAAATTGCCTAAAATGTCTAGTTTGGGCTTTGTTCTCCCATTTTTTTCACACTTGCTGAAGGTAATAACTGAAAGTTTGACCAACTGCATACAGGCATTGTACGCACGTAACTGGAACTACAACGACAGTGTCTCATATTATTACATATGCATTTATCAAGGTGGTGGGGCTGGCATTTTGGAAAGCCTCCATATTTAAATGTTATGGAGACACATTCTTCCAGACATACCATGCATCATCTCCACGACCATCAGGCCGAAGAGTTCCTGCACCACCCGCAGGCAGATCCGGCCCCCACACAGCAACAACGGCCTTCTCTCGTCCGTATACACATTCTCAGACAACTGTTTCTAAAGGAAAAGACAAATACACAGTGCAGCACCATGAGTCACTTTAAGGAAGCATCCTTCACAAAAGACCTGGTCATGGATTAAGTCTGATGATTCCCCTAAAACAAGTTATGCCAAGGTCAACAGAATCACTTCAATCTGGCATCTGCTGACAAAGGGTTGTACTGACAGCAGTGAGAGGAATTACGAGTTGGCGTGATGCTTCACAATGCTAAACGGCCTGATGGTCTGACTAAGCGTAAAATGGGCTTTGTAGAGTCTTGGTTTGGATTAGGACTTAGCTCCAGAAGTAAATCATTTAATCAAGTAATCAATTGTTGATGTTAAATTTAACATTTAAATACAAACTATGCAGTATGTCATCTTGAAAAAAAACGTCTAAGAAGGTTCACTAATTGTGGAGGGTATTTAACCTGTTGGAGTCGCCACATCTGTCAGCCTCTGCTTTGGAATATGAACAAACTCTACAATTCGATTAATGCATTTAGTCAATAAACATAAAACATAAAAAACAAAAATGAAAATGGCTGACAACAAATTATTGTGTTATAAATTACTATAATGTGAATTATTATAAATAATATAATAACCATTATTTATAAATTCATGACTTATTTACATTATAAATTATTGTAATGTAAATTATTATAAATTATAAATGATGATAAAAAAATAATAAAGAATTATAATTTGGATTATTTATAAATGATGTTATTTATAAACAAATGACAATAATAAAGAGTCTGTGCTCTTATATGGTATGCTCACATTTATATTATAAATTACAATAATGTAATTAATAATAATAATACATTTATACTAATTATAATTTAGGTTACTTATCAATTATATTGATAATTTATAGTAGTATTAAATTGAATAATAATTATCATCGTTATTAATATATATTTCATAATAATATAACAAGTTATTCTAATATAAATTATTTAACATTCTAAATTATTCACAAAATATGTTGCTTTTTTTTAGACCCTTCGAGAGTATGGGACAAGATGTTTTTTTCAATACAATGCTGAAAATCAAATCCTTTATGCAATAATTCAAATAAATAAAAAACTAATTAGCACTCTTCATTTGTCTACTACAGAAGACTGCAGACTTTCCCTGCACGATTTAAAAGAGAACCGTGGATCATTTCATACCTGACATGTAATGTGCACATATTGCGGTTCATAAGCAGATGGATAACTGCATGCAATCTTCTTGCCATTCTGGGTGAAGTCTCTGATTTCTGCAAGGCATTGCTGGACGTCAGCAAATCGGGTGAAAATCCTCTCCATGTTTTGCGTGAGCTGCTCCAGGTTCTTCTCTTTGGACTGGCAGCTGTTCTTTGGCGGAGTGGCATCGGAGTATAATTTTTCCGAGGCCTCGTATTTGGGCGAACAGGGTCGACTGGAATCCCGGCTGGCCTGACTGGCTACGGCGAGTGTGGCCATGCGGCTGATGTGATCCATGTCGTAGGTTTCCAGAGTAACAGAGGAGGCACTGGATGCTCTATCTGAGAAGTCGGCAGAGCTCGCCACGGGGCTCAAATCTGAGCTGCGTACCTCCTCGATTAGTTTCCTCCGACTGGATGGCGAAACAATTACCGAGCCTCCGGGAAGTATAAGATCCTTAATTGATAGACGGTCCTCTTTAGAAAAGTTCTCAGAATGACGTCTAATCCCATGATGTTGACTCGCCGACTCGGATTTGGGAACCACTGGGGTGGCACCTTCCTCATCGAATACCAGCTCCTTGGCTATTAGCCTCAAGATGTACTTGTCCGTGTTGGAGGAGGGGAGGAAAGCAGGATCATTGGACTTCTGTCGGCCAATCATGAAGAGCAACATCTTGTTGGTGAAAAAGCACACCCCTTTGGGCCTCTCATTTTTTTGCAGCTGGATCTGCTGCACGTTGGGCATGGAAGAATCCGTGATGCAGTAAACTAGGATCATGTTGCACGTGTTTGATGCCACGGCCACCGTGCTCCCGCTCGGATCGAAGGCGATAATATCAGGGACCAAGATGCCAGGGATGCTGACCTTCCTCGAAGTGGTGACCTTACGTTCATACGTCACCAGAATCAGATGTGACGAGTCCTGACCTGTTCCCGTCGTATTATCCCGCCGCCTCAAGTGAATGAGCGGACTTGGGTCTGATTTTCGGTGTTTGGCGAGAATGTGCGTTAGATCTATGGGTCCGGATGAGGAGCCGTGTCCCAAGCGCTCAGAATCACATGATCTCCGTCTGTCCAAATAATAGTCCGTATCCACTGTCAAAACGGGAGAAGGGCGGCACGTCGAAGCCTCTGACTCATTGGGCAGGTCGAATGCGATGCCTGCATTGAGCCCGCAAATTTTATCAAGCGGAAGTTCAGTCGCTACAGCCACTTGAGCTTCGTCTGTAGACTCGATGGCACAGATATACCCACCTACATCGAAAATCGGGCAGAAGGAACATGCCACCAGGCTTTTTTGGATGTCGTTCCAAATATACGAATGCAACGCACTACCGATGGCGACCACCAGGCGGGTTCCATCTTTAG